CCAGCCACTGGTAGGATTTTTCGATATCAGCCACTTCTAATATTTGACAGTGGTACATAACCATGCAGAGGTTTGTCCTTCCATGAGGGTTCCTGCTCTTCCTTCCCTAGTTCCTCTGGTTTCTGCTGCCTGAGGTGTTCACTAAGCATGTTATCACTCGGGGCCACAAAACACTTGAGCAAATTGTTTTACTTAATATAAAACCCAGTGAAAACACTCATGTCGTCATCTGTCACACAAACAGTCCACATCAGGGAGGCCCATTTTCCATAAATATAGTTTTCTCCAACTGAAATGTTCAGTTTAATCTATACCCAGATGAAGATATCTTATATGCACAGCTTATAAACACCTTCTCATATACAACACGTCTATGCGTAATCATAGAAATGCTTAGATTTATTATTGTGACAGAATGGTAGTGTGAAAATGACTCAAAACATGCATCTTCCAAATCGTTCAAGAACTGTCTTGAGTCTTACTATTGTTTTTACACGCATTTGGCCAGCTGGGGGTAATTAAAACGTTTCAAAACTACCCATTTTCCGAAGCAATTGGTTCAAAGCTTGGCAAAGCGTTTCTGTCATCACTAACCTATTCCCCCTCCAAAGACCCCAAACTGTGTGGAGCCCGTCACGACACTGCATCTCAGTCAGCGAGCCAGTATTTATACTTTAAGATGTGTCCGACTAACAGTATCGTCAATCTGGCTGGTTTTCGTCGCGTTATCGTAACATTTCAGCTGATCTATGAGAGAGGTTAGCATCCTTTAAGATAATTTCGGACACGCTAACGCCAACTAGCTAGATGTTAGCTAAGCTAGTAACCAATCTTAGCTACAGGAAATCACAAAAACTGAACCTCGAGTGCAGTAGTACAGAAAAATATAAAACGTCCATTCATATTATTTTATACAAGACACATTTATGGACAACAGACTATTAAACTGTGCCGAGATAAGTGAAATGTGAAATCAATAACTGGGCTAAAATTAGCCGGCTAACCTCGTCGTAGCAATATCCGAGCTCAGAGGAAGTCCGCCCAACATGAACGATAGGTCGTCAACGCCAGCGGGACGTTTCTCTCCGTATAGCGACGAGGTACCCCCGGGTCTGAAGATCTTGACAATGTCTGTAATAGCAGCAGTATGCGTTATTCAGTAATACTCATGAAGAAAGTGACGGTTTCCTAGCAGAAGCAGAATAGTTTGTCCTTTTGCAGCAAACATACCCCGGAAGTAAACCAAAAGACTTGGTAACCTGAAAACCCACCGAGTTAATCTACAGAATTATCCAACTAGGGTATTGCGTTTCAAAGACAAACTATATACAATTGAATGAAATAAAAGTAATTATAAAAAGCATATAACACAAACAAGGTCGTATGTATACAATTCAAGCTGCATCAATGTAAGAATACTAAAAGTAAATATATTTTATTTCCATAGTTGTCTCAAATCATGATAGTATAGCAGAGGAACTTCTTTCTTAAATGTGCTTGAAGCTGGTTAAGAGTAGATACTCAGTGAATATAGTAGCTTACAGAAATAAAGCCTTCAAAGTTTGTTTCCTGTCTGATACTACTTCTAGGCTATACTGCCAGTGTTGTAGTCGAGAATCCCAGTTTACGTTGGGTGAGAGGTGGGGTACAGAGGAGCATACGTCTTGTGGATGACCAGAATATCATTTGCATGGTGAAAAAAAATTTCTTCAGATCAAAAAGAACATAACTTTGAAGAAAGCTTCTGCAGACCCTCGGTAAGACTGAAAACACAGTTCACAAAAACACAAGAAGAAGTCAGATTTCTGGGGCAAAGCCCTGTGGTCTGATGGAAGAAACATCATCCTCTGTAAAATGATGGAAACAGGAAAGAGAAGGAGAAGCACAAGACCCAGAGTGCCACCTCATCTGTCAAACATGGTGTCGGTGCTGTCATGGCCTGGGCATGTGCGGCTGCCAGTGGAAGCAGCACACTGGCTTTTATTGATTATTCCGCTGCTGAGAGAAGCAACAGGATGAATGCAGAGGTACAGGAGCACACTGTGCTCGGTTTCACCCAGATGCACCAACATGCATTGGTTATCCTAAATAAAAGAGCCAGAGATTTTCAGAATGAAGGGGTGAAATATTCTTGAGTTAAATTTCCAAGTCGGACAAATCAAGTGGGTATTTTCCAAAAATATATAAATTTTTAGTCTATCCACTACAACTCACCAAGTAAACACTATCCAAACAAATGCAAAGAGGGAAAATCAGATCAAAACGGACATAACTTTGGAAGAATACTACTTGATTTGTCTAAAATAATTGAAACTGCTGAGGCCTCGTTAGCTTTGGTTAAATGTTGAAGTGCATCTCCCATCACTTACATTGAACAGGCTTCCATTGAACAGGAAGGGATCTCTTAATGGCCAGTAGAGGTGCTTGCAAGCTTGGGCACCCCTCAGCAAAACACATGAGTACTTGGTTCATTTTTGGAAATGCAGTCCTTGCGTGCGCACACATTAAATTGAGCCCTTCTTCAAATGTTAATGCACTGTTATGCTTTATTGCATGAATTTTGTGGAAAAAAAAATAGGAAGGGGGAAAAAACAAGCAACAATTGCAGCATGTACCAGTTTGGCATCCTTACTGTCAGTAACCTCCACTTCTGGCAGATATCACAAATGTCTTGTAGCCAGCTAAGAATCAAGAAAATATTTGTCAAGGGGTGCCCAAACTTTTGCATCTAACTGTATAAACAGGAGCAAGCAAAACATGTTTGAATGTACATATGGACACTTAAAAATGTGATCCCATCCTTCAACTGTCAACTCAAGATCTCAGAATTTGCCAATAATGTAGTATTTTAATTTTGGTGGATGACAGCATTAGCTGAGGACAGAAAAGGGCTGCTGATCATTATTAATCGACTCTCCTACAATGAACCGGTTACACAACCAAGTGTACCGTTCACATCAGTAGATGACACTAGCAGGCCTGCAGTAAAAACCACCGTTAAGACAAATAGCATACACAGCTGCTACTGAGTCATGTCTGACATTCACCTGTATCAATTGTAGGCTACTGATAATCTTTCACAATTTTGCTATTTACAATAAATTTAATAAAAAAGGATGTGAATAAAAAAACAGCTGAAACTGAATTTGTCAGTTGACAATAATTTGTCACTATTTTGATTATCAAACCTCCAGTCACTTGCTGGCTTTAAGTACTTTAAGTGTAAGGAGCTGTGCTTTTCTTTGATTTCATTAATTGAACATACCTTTACTTTTGGATTGCAGAAAAAAAACATACGAGGAAGTCTTCAACTCTAGGAAATTTTAATCAATGGACAAAATGCATGTAATAGAATTTGCTGTGACGAAACAAAATGTACACCTTTGTGTTCATAAGGGCAGTTTATTGTCTGTATACAATATGAACAGGAGTCTATATTGGAGTCCATATGTGTAAATGGCACACTTCAGTACACTCGTTCATCCTCCTACAGGAGGTTTTAAAGCAGACTCACTAGGACTAAAACCATGGCACACAGTCCCCCATCCATCCCATCAGTCACCCTCTATTATTCCCTTTGTCCATGATTTATAAACTCCAAAACCACCTTTTAAATATACTGCAAAGATTGTACAGAATATAGAAATCCACATGGTAAACTAAAGTACACACTTTTAAAATTTATCCCCAGCCTCAACCAACATACAACTCCGTTCTGGACCAGGATGAGGCTTGAATCTTGTGAGGATATCACAAGGCCAATCCCCCACACCCCCAAAAGTTACTTCAGTTAGATCTAACCACACAGTAACTACTGCAGATAGTTTGTGGCAAGTGAGCAATATAATGCCTTGATGTCTTGTCGGGTTAAACCTTATGACAATCCATCCGGAACTGAAACTATAGTGCTTGCAAAATCCAGCAAGCTCACTCATAGTGAATACAAAAGCAGGTAACATAAGCAGTATACGGTTTTTAATGTTTACATAAGCGTATACATACAATCTATAATATAGCAGAGTAGACTATGCTATGAATCAGTAGTCATAAATATTACATTGTGCATGTTCTATTGCACATGTCAAGTGTTTGTATGACATGATAGGTATGGGTTAGTTACCTAGATGTCATTGGTTTTAATACAAAGATGCAACAACACAGATTTCGTAGGACACAGGCTATACATTTTCACAAATCCACTTTTTTTTTCTTCTTAGGATATTTTCCTAAATAAACCAACTGTATGATACAACAGTGATATTAAAGTGTGATAAATATTCATGCACAAACAGATGATACTACCTAAGATCTAATATGTGGAAAAAATACTACTGCACAAGCCAGCTGCTGAATATGGATTGTTGGGTTTTGACTATACTGGACATGAAATTAACAGAAACAAAATGAGTGAGCAGTAAAAAAAAGGCACATGGATTTCAGAGGAGCTTAACATGAACATACGTATCTGAGAACTGTCTGGAAGTTCTTGCCATTGTTCAACAACAGAATCGATAGTTACAAAACAGACAATCACATGCAACCACAGAATAAGGTCCCACACTCGGTACTAAACAAAATCAAGATCTCCCCACATTTCACATTACAAGACTTTTTCCATTCTATTCAAGATTTTTCCATGTGTTCCAAAATAACTGATTTAGAGTGTTTTGCCTTTTACTCAACAAAGGATAAAGAGGAGTCAAATCTTACTGGTACTAAAAACTATTATACATAATTTGGGTGCATGATATAAACTACAAATGGGAGAGCGGAGACTGGCACACATTGCTTTGAGGGCAAATGCCATACTTGCTACCTGTGACTGAGGAGCAGCTGCTCATTGGATGCATGGAGCTTCAGGGAAACTCTCACCCTCAGCAGTGTGCTGGACTGTGTGCTCCTGCAGAGCTCTGAGGTCAACAAAACGCTCTCCGCACCACACGCACTTAAACTGTGTCTCCCGTGAGTGCACGCTCTGGTGCTTGGCCAGGTGCTCGCGTTGCTTGAAGCTTTTGTCGCAGCTGGCACACTTGAACGGCTTCTCCCCAGTGTGAACTCGGCGATGGCGCTGCAGCTCAGAGGAGTACCTGAAGCGCTTTTCACAGTCGGGGCATTTCAGTGGCTTCTCTCGGGCTGGGTCGCAGCGGTGTTGTACAAACTCGGAGGATGACACAAAGCGCTTGTCACACATGGAGCATTTCAGTGGCTTCTCAGTGCAGTGAGAGTTCTGGTGGCGTTGCAGAGTCGAGTTCTTTTTGTAACCTTTGCCACAAACGTCACACTTGTAGGGCTTCTCCACTTCGCCACCACATTTGTGCCTTAGCAGTTCTCCTGACTGGCTGAAAGACTTCTGACAGGATGCACATTTAAACAAACTTTCCATACCATGAACTTGCTGATGATAAAGCAGGTGGGACGGCTGAAGGAATCCCTTGTCACAGAGATTACATTTGAAAGGTCGATCAGCCGGATTCTTGTGAGTGCGACGGTGGCGTACGAGAGCATACTGCTGTTTGAAGCTCATCTGGCACTCCTCGCACTGGAAAGGTCTCTCCTCCGAGTGGGTGCGTTCATGCTGCCGCAAGTCAGATGGGCGCTTGAAGCTCTTTCCACACGAACCACAGCGGAAGGGTCTCTCCCCTTCTGGCTGGCATTGATGGTGCAGGAGCTCAGATGACTCCTTAAAGTGCATCTCACACAAATTGCACTTGAACAGATGCTCGCCGGAATGAGCGTACATGTGCCGTACAAGGTGGGAGCGGTGCTTAAAACTCTTCTCACATACAGCACATTTATACGGCCGCTCAGAGCTGTGTGTGCGCTGGTGGTGTGCAAGATGTGAAGACTGGCTGAAGCTTTTATCACATGTGTCACATTTGTATGGCTTTTCGCCAGTGTGTACTCGCTCGTGGCGGGTCAGCTCTGACAAATGCCGGAAGGACTTATGGCACACTGAGCACTTATATGGCCTGTCTGGTGCAGAGGCTTCAAACGTAGGAGGAGATGAGGCACTGATTGCTGCACCACCACCAGACGTCTCACCAGTGGAGGGCTGCTGGGGGTTGGCAGCTGACGAGGTTGGGGTGGCGTTTCCAGAACCTGGCCTGTACGTTTTCTCACAGATGGAGCACTTCATTGGGTTGTTTCCATTACCATGTGAGTTGTGATGCTGAGCCAAAGAGGTGAGCAGGGAGAAGCCCATCTTACACACACCGCACACAAAAGGTTTCTGCTCCACCTGCACACACTGATGCTCAAGCAGATCTGTCGCCTGGCTGAAGATCTTCATACATTGCGTGCACTGGAACGATCGGTCTTGGGTCACCATGCACTGGTGCTCATGAGGGTTGGCCAGATGAGATATGTCATGACCACAGGCTCCACACTTGTGCCCTCTTTCGCCCCCTACCTGTAGTGTGGGCTGCTGGGCTTGAACAGAGTGCTGCTGGGTATGCTGGGGCTGCTGCAGGGTGGTATCTGGCTGCAGGACTACTCCGTACACAGTGCAGCCCAGGGGGTTGTCTGTCCCCTGGGGGAGCGTGTGCACAACAGAGGGTGGAGCCACTGCATGTTGTTGCTGCTGCTGCCACGCCTCCGTCATCCTTCCACTTCGCATATAAGGATTCAGTGCTTAGCAGGTGAGGGGTTTTTCAGTGCCAAAACTGAGAGGGTAGATCTGTTTTAGAAACTGCAATCAGCACACTAAGCATTCAGCTAAGTGCTATATCTGTGTTTACACACTCCCTTTGAGATAGGTGAGAAAACCTGGAGGAAAAAAAAACAAAACAAATTACTTTGTATATGTTAAATACATGAAATACTGTTATGAGTAAATACAGTGGAGGGTGTTGAGCTGATGAGCTGCCATCACTTCCAGCATGATCCATTATTAAACAATGTGAGAGACAGAAGCACTAACTTACACGATTTATCTTTACTGGCTACATTTCATAAAGGGAAGGTGCTGTATCCACTGACAAAATAATCTGAGTGGTGGAATTTGAAGTTTTGTTTGTAGTAAGAATAAAACTGAAATAAAGCTGCAGCAATTTATCTATTAATACATAAACTTTAAAAGAATCTGCAACTATTTTGATAATAGGTTAACAGTTTACAGCTGAATATTTTCTGCTTCAATGCGTTCAAAGGTGAGAATTTGTTGCTCTTCGTGCACTTGCATTACTGTAGATTCAATAGCTGGTGATTAAGGCTGGTTGTAGAGCTGAAATGATTGTCCCCTTACTCAGGTAAGCAACTGCTAGGAACTAGTTTGACAATAAATTAATCATTTTCCAAGCAAAACTAAAAGATGCCAAACATTTTCTCATTCCAGCCTCTTAAGTTAGAGGAAGTAATACTTTTCAATACATATATCACTGTAAACAAATTAGTATATGATTTTGGATTGCTGGTTGGACGAAAGAGGTTTGGAGAGGTCACCTTCAGCTCTACTATGAAAGCCGTTTTTAATATTTATAGACTAAACAGTTTATCAAAAATGATTAGCAGATAAATGTTCTAATAATTGTCCAGTAATTCCTAGCGAACATCGAATAGTATTTTATCTTGAAATGCCCATCTCTAATCTAAATTTACAACGTTATCGGTGAAGCAGATATGTTGTCATATGCACCCGCGAAGCCTTACTCTAAGAGGAAATCCGCAAGAACTGTTAAAACACAAGAACTGGGCCCTGTCTATTTCCTGAAACGCAACTCGAATACGAAATGGTTCTATTCTTCAGTCAAACACGGTTTTAGACATTACGGGGTTCAAAATGGCTTGCTGATATACAGGCTGCTCTCTCCAGTTTGTTTTGCTGGACATATGTTATGCTCTCTACAAGATATTAACGTTAAACTGTTTGTGTTCCAGGTTGTAGCTATAAAGCGTTAGCTTGTCAGCTGCAGCAGCCTAGCTAACGGCTAACCGCTTTCGCTAACGTTTCTGAACAACTAGACTTCCTTTGAGATTAGCAACACATCTCACATTCAAAAATATTAATATACGGATATTCCGTAGCATACACAACACATAATAATTAAACAAAGCAAAGACAAAACAGCCTATACAGTACCGTCGCTTCGGCTGAAATGCAGCTTTATCAAAGGCCCAAATAATTGGTGTAACGTTTGATACGAGCCTTCACTGCAAACGGACCCCATGTCAAACTAGGCCTCCCCGGAGCTGCAGGGAGACATTCCACCTCTTGCAGCCGAGCCTCGTACATCTGCAAAATGCACCACTTAAAACATACAATTCGAGATAACTTACTCAAGCTGGTTATTGATGGTTTTCACTGCCGTCTTTAGCCTTAGGCCAACAACCTTTGGTATATTTGGGACACGGAGGACCATCAGCAGAGGGGATGCGGTTGAAGCCGGACGCCATCCTCCTGCAGACGGACGGACACCGGAAACCGCCACGCAACGAGCTGCCGCCGCTGTGCTGCTGCTGCTGCTACAGGCGCTTCATGGTGGAGAGCCACTAAAGGAGCCCGAAACAACCCGAAGCGGATATAAACTGCTGCTAGAGTTTGTCTAAAGAATATATGAACAAACGCAATGGCGAAAACAAGCTTGTTAAGATATTAGCAAATGTCTTCATTACACCAGCAGGGGGGAGTGTTTCACTTATTCACACATTTCTTTTGAATTGTCAAGTCAGTCTATATGGGGAGCAAATTTAAAAACAATAAAGCCAAACTGCTTTACGGAGAGATTAAGAAAATATCTGATTGAGGGTTAAGTCAAATAACACATGGATAATGAAATATAAATATGGACATAGGAAGGGGATTCAAGTAAATGAATAAAGTCAAATAAAATGGGGTGAGGAGTTCATCCGTGTAGCCTAATCTAATCCTAACCAAGCACTGCTTTAAAAACAAATAAAAGAGATGTCAAATCAATTATGTATCTCACTGGTAACCAGTGAAGAGAGGCAGTGGACCAGTACAGAGAGATATGATTAAAGCCAACTGCAAGGTTATATTTAGCAACCAAGAATATTTTAGGTCTGACTTTGTTAACTGATTGAATGTTCATTGCATAAACCATCCGCTCATTGATGAATCAACAAATTATTGCAGCTATAGAGCACTGGTTGGTTTTGAATGCCTGGGGAATTCATTATACTGTTATGTACAGGGGGGATGAACTGGGGGGGGCAACACATTTTGCCCCACACTTCAAGAGGTTAATCCAACCATGGAAATAAAGGGTGACCTCTTGAGGTTTCAGTTGAATTAGGGAACAACAATTGGCATTTTCATTGATGTTTGTTGTAAGGAGGAAGAGTGCTACTTGTATTTGTTTGACAAATCAACAATAAGCACCACATTGCAGTTGTCCAAGTATAAAATTCAATAAATAATAAATAAGATGCTTAAAATTTGCAGAACACTGTGATCCAGGCTAGGACATCTGGTAGGAAGCCTAAAACCAGAAGAGAGAGCCTCTCTGTCTTAGCCATAAATGGATTTAACTGTGAGTTAATGAATATTACTGCATAAATCTACATTTCTGGTTATAGCTGTAGGTTAAAGGAGATTCTTCTTCTTTTTAGGTCAACAGAAGCTAATGTGAACAAAATGATAATAGTTTCATAGCACTGCATTGCAACCAGACCACTCACACTTAGCAAACCTTTCTGGTCTGGTTGATCTGACCAAATTGCTTTAACTTAGCTCATTGAGGGTTGATTTTTATTTTTATTGTAATATAGAAATCAAGAAGTTTATTATCTATGAACAGTACATAGATAACAGACCTGTTAAGGTTGATTAACAACCAAAATATAAAACCACAATATAAAAAGCACTAATAACATTATTACATTATTAATAACTTAAATTTAATTACTTCATCGCAGGAAAACAAAAATCATATAAAATCAGATATTGCTATAACTTAGTTCTGCTAAAAAATAAAAAAAAACTGCCCACAAGGGCCAAGTAGGGTCTGGGCTGTGGCTACTAATGAGGTCTCTGAGGTCATGTTGTCTGTCATGATTCTCAGCACTTCCTGTTTTAAGCTTTTATTTTGGTACATTTCTGCTCTGACCAGAACAGGTTTACCACTCCATTATGACTTATTCTCAGCTTGCCATCTGCAGCCTCGTGCATTAGCTGTGTTTCTCACAGATATGCTCAGTTGCCCTGTTTGCCCTATTTGATTCTTACCTGGCTTCGAGCTGTTTTACTACTGTAACCCTGTCTCTGCTTGTTCCCATATTAGTCACCTGCATGGCACTCATTAAAAAAACTCTAGGCTCTTACCTGAGTTGACACTGTATGATCACTCAGCCTAATACCTCCTTTGTTTGAAAATACCCACTAGCTGCTGCACTGCCCTTTCAGCTGCCATGTGTGTGTGAAAAGGCTTCCTTGTTACTTAGCACCCATCTAGTGTTTACCTGCAAAGAAACACATACCAATCACTCACCTGCAAACTAGTGTTTACTGTTGTACTTGAAGTACCTGTTATCCCACACTACCAGTCAGTTCTGACGGATCTCTTTCATCTGTGTAGTTCTCACCCGTTGTTTCCCATGTTACGTTTTGAGCATTTAAAGCCTTGTTTTCCTCAGTTCAGTCCCTTGTCTTTTGTCTGAATCTGGGTTCCAACACTGAAATCATTACAGCTGTTTATATTTTCTCTGGGACTTTTGGGATTTTCTTAAAACCACAGACATTTTTTAATGATGATTCCAGTATTTTCCCACCAGGACAGAGTAGTTCTCCATAATAGTTTTATTTCATAGCAGTGTGGCCAGGAACTGAAACAGCATTAGACTTATATGTTATAAAAAAAAGAATAATTATGCCTGCAAAAGCTTGAAAAAAAAATGCGGACAGCTGGTCCTGCCAAGAAGAATGATCTGTTTTAGCAAAAGCCCTAATATGATATTTGTTCATGTCCAACCGACAAAGCCCTCTAACAGCTGCAGGAATTGTGATTCTTGTCTATCAGGAACAAAAAAAAAAAAAAATGAAATATTGTGCTGTTGTAGAGCCATAGAGTCTGCAGTGGGAAGAGGTTGGGTTGGCTGGGTGGGTTGAGAAAATACTGGACTTTGATCCAGGAAATTGCTGTTTGCTGGCTGTTTCCAACTGATTTTTTAAGCTGATCACAATCATTTTTGCACCTAAACCTAACTTTGTTGGCATTGTCACATCAAATCAGCAAACACTTGTGCTATTCTGGAGGGCAATTACAAAAACTGTATTATGTCATTTATTTAGAGGAATTGTTGGAGGTAAATGAACAAATAAAAATCTGAACAATACAAACATTTTATAGAGTTGTTTTTATTGCTTGATGAAAGGGGTTGAGGGTTGTTGGACCTATGATCTCAGTATGGCAAAAATCCTGGATATGGCCCTGGCCATTGGTCAGTGATAGAAAGCACCAAAGTATATTTAAGTACTGTACTTAAGTAGAAGTTTGATGCACTTGTACTTGTGAATTTCCATTTTCTGATACTTTTTATTTCTTCTCCTCTGCCTTTTGAAATATTGTACCTTTTACTCAGTTTTATTTATCTGACAGGTTTAGTTTCTTGTTAGACATTAGATTTTAAACAGAGAAGCTTATAATTTGCAATTCTTTGTTAAAGATTAAGCCAGTGGTTCTCACACTTTTTGGCTCATGACCTCTTACAAAATAAGGAAAGTAAAGTAGCAGAACCACAGAGTAAAATAGCTTTTATAAGCTGAGAGTCAATATCCTTTTAGTACATTGTGCAAAATGGCCAGTTTCTTAATACTATACATTACTGGATCATAATCATTGATGCATTAATGTGTATATCACTTTAATGTTGCAGTTGGAGCTGCAGCTCCCTCTCACCCTATCTTCCCGTGTTTTTGATATAATAATACACATGACTTGTTTGTTGATTATATTACATATTAAACTGAATCTGCATTTTGCCTCTGAATTGTTGTACAACCCTGTGCAGTAGTAGAAGCAATAAGTGTAGTTTTTTTCACCACCTTCATGACATTGTATCAGTGGAGACAGCAGTAATAACCACACCAAACTAGTTAATTTCAAACATTTCATTATTTTCTCCACATTAACTTTGAAACAACCCCATAAACCAAAGAGTAAGAAAGAGCATGCTCGGGCATGCAATGATGTCACAACATGATGATGCCACTGGGTGCGAAGTATAAAACATACAGTAGCAGAGAGTTTCTTTTTAGATCATTCATAAATTCAGGACATTTCAGTACCCACTGAGAGTTAAAAGCTAGCGTTTATTTTACACTGCTCCCTATGCCTCATGTAGCCTTGTGTTGCTGGATAAAAAAGACGAGAGGAAGAAACTCACAAACCGACACCAGATTGAGCAGGCTAAACAAACATGCTGAAAAAAATCTCATCCGGCCAAAAAGGTGTCTGGAAATGACACCGTAGAAACCCCATTTTTTCCCTTTTTGACTGGTCCAAAAGGGGGTCTGGGAGAGAAAGACAAAACAGTGCATGCCATTTCAGGGTGAAGAGGGAGGTTGGATGAGTGGAGGGTCACCTTTCTTAATGTTGAAGGTTATTAGTTTCCTCTTAGCCTGCCCACGTGGGGTTGTGGTTAAATAAACTTGAGACGGAAAATGAATAAATACGAGGCACTCAGCATTCTCTCTGTCTTGCAAAAAGTAACAAACTTGAATAGTAAAGACACATACACATATATAGTAGAATTAGTGGTTATAACATAACAGTCTCAAGGCTGTACAAAGGGGCAAGGCTGAATCCTCTTCAGTATTTCAGCAGTTAAATGTGTTTATGCTTTTTTTGCGTGCGAATGTGTGCATTAGTGTGGACTGACATAAAATTCCACTTCACTTGCAATAAATTTTGGAAGTTCTTCAAGAATTTGACTTGTGTCTTGGCATGTGTTTGTCACTGATGTTTGATTCATGAATCAAATGTGGATCTGATTCAGTCATATTCTGTGATGTGGATGGATGTAAAGCGATTTCCAAATCTCTGCCGACAGGTGTGATGACAAGAAGTGATAATCAGGACAGAGTGCGTACAAATGAAGACAGAACAGTGATGTTAAAGGGATAGAAAATGCACTTTTAAGACCCAACACAGCCTCATGCAATGGTCGTGTGTGTCTGTGTACTTTGTAGAGGAAATAAAAGGATAATGACGGAGCCCTTTGACATGGATCTACTCTTGCAGCATAGTTCTGTTTGTAGCGCATAGTGCGAATAGGGGTTAGAGACTGGTGGACTGGACTAAATGGAGGAAATGGTTAAAAGGCAAAGGGAGTTACTGTCTGTGGGGTTTAGCATGGAATGTATGTGCTGTGCTCTTGGTTAGCACATTTGTCATGATGATCAGGAAACAAGGGTTGCTATATTCTTGTCTAGAGTGGAGGAAAAATGGGCAAAACTGCCTGTGCCATCTTCAGTCCATCTAACAGCAGATGATGGACACCCATGCATGTGTGTCCTGATACACCACACTAGTTTATTTAAAGCTGCACACTTTACGTTCTTGTGACTCTAATCCGGCAACTTTTTTTTTCTATGGTTGCAAGCTCAAAATAAGCATTTGAAAAGGAACAGTGCTCTCAGAGAAACTGAAACAGGCTTTAACGGAGGTGAAAAGAGCAGTAGCAACAAAAGAAAGGCTCTGCTGTGTCCGTCACTTGGGCTGCGGGCTCCAGTCGAATAGGCAGAAAGTCCATCTCAGTACGTAATAATATAATATACTGTAGTTATCAATAAGTCTTAGTAAATCATACCTGTATAAGCTTAAATAAAGAAGTGAATGAAAAGAATGGCTACTCCAATATTGAGTAAAATGACCATAACCACCAGAATAGAGCTGGAGCCCTAGGAGACAAAACAGGAGGAAAGAAACAGTTAGTCCAGTTGTGGCAAACAGTGGCAACAGCAGAGCTACAAGAAACAAGCTCAAATGAAACCTGGTAAATAGAAATAGGAGTGCAAAACTCCACAGCGGCAACTGATTACACTGTATTAGAACAGATGGCAATAAAGGTGATGAAGTACTGATTATAATAATATTTGCTATAGCTAATTTAATCCTTTCATATGTTTGTATATGTTACAAATCAAATACAAGGTGTGTGCTGATTTTCTGAAGTGACTATTTTAAGGTACTTAAAACTAATAACATTTTCCTTTTTTCTCTCTTTCAATTGTAATTTTTTCCGTATTGCTGATATTTTGACATTTTGTTGATCATTTGATGTATTGCTTTACTTTTAGAGATGTACAGTTTTGAATTACTAATTGCTTTGGTTGTCCTACTCATTTTTCCCATAAACAATGTTTACATCTCACAGTTGGAGCACTTTTTCACTGCAGATCTTCACAGTTCATTCATGATTACAAATGAGTGAGAGCTGCATTAGAAAATATCTCATTCTGTGTTAAACTTAAACTGTAAAAAAAAACAAACTGAAATATTTAATTTAATCTGCAAATTATATGATCAGTAGAGAATGTGGAGTTAAATTTTGGGTAAATACGCCATTTTGGAAGATCACGCTCATTATCCATCAAAGAGATATACATTACATTATAAGTTGATTTAAAAAATAAATATTATCCCATAGGGCTACATACCGTGGCAGCTGCTTCAGTAATGTCTGCATGTCCACTTCAGTGTTTAGTTTGAGCACACACAGGACAGAAATTGATTCGTCTGCATGGTTTATGTTATCTGCTGATTGCTTAGCTCTCAAACTAAGAGCTGAGATCAGGGTGCAGAGTCATTTTTCAGTATGGCACTCTCATAGATGGGATCTCTAGGTCTGCTATGAGCTACAGTCAGTTAAGGTTATCCATTTTGGATTACTACAGTCAGTAAAATGATATCAAAATGATTTAAGCAACTTTCTTGCCAAAACCAAAACAAGAATGTAAACAAATAAATACAGCGTGCATGCATCTCCCAAAATCACACTCCTGTCCTAAAATTCAACATGGCATGATGTACCTTCACATTCTCTGTTTTCTAAAAATAAATGTTATCTTTGCTTCTGCTTGCTGTTAGTGGAACACGTATACACAAATTTTAGAGTTGCAATTTGATGTTGTGTACCAAAATCGACCTTCAGAAGTGTAGTTAACTTACCCCTTTACGATTTAACCTTAGACCTTTTTTATAAAAACAAAAAACACACAAAACCAAATATTATTTTGGAAATATTTCTTATTTGGAAACTTCCAGACACTAGTTGTTTCCTCCTGTTCCTGCAGTTTTTAATGCTAAGCTAGGCTAATTGTTCCTCAGGTCTTGTTCCATATTTAAGAGTCTTATCTACAGTAACAAGCAATTAAATGAATAAGCATATTTCCTACAATGTCAAGTTATTTCTTTCATGATAACTAATTATTCAATTGTTAAAATGAACACTTAGCAATTAAAAGAATAATAAAAAATATGGATCCTTACAACTATAAATAAGCAGACAGAATTTGTATCTGAAACAGATGTTATAAGGACTCACTGAGTTTGATTTGAGGGTCAGATGCTCTCCTTCCTGCTCCAGAGTGATGGGCTGAGACTTTAGGGGTGGGGAGAGGGTGAGGTCCCTGTGCAGTGGCCACTCCTCCAGCTCTGCCCCCACATTCAGGTTATCCAGCATCTGTACAGAGTCCATGGATCCCTCTCTGACTGGCCGAAGGCCTCGAGATCGCAGCCTGTTGTTTTTGGGGGCTGGAGACTCCTGGCCCAGACTCCGAGTTGTCTGCGAGTCTGGACACTGAAGTCTCATGTCAACCATATAGTCATTCATCCTTTCCTCATCCTGCTCTGTCAGGCGTGAGTGGGCAGGACTCCACCTAACGGTACTTTCAGCAGTCCAGCCCCCAGTGAGGCCATCTAGCCTTTGGTCAATTACAGCATGCTCGTTAAGCTTGTGGTTGCAGGGGTTGTGCTGCTTTACATGGTGGTTGGAGTAGGCATGCTCTGGAAGGTTGTAACTAGAAGAGACGTGGTCCTTTGCATTGTGATTAGAGGAGGTATAACCTTGGGACTTGTGATTGGAAGAAGCATGCTCAGTCTTGTGATTGGACATGTTATGTTCCAAGGCCTTGTGATTGGATAAAATGTGCACCTGTGGCTTGTAGCTGGAAGAAGCATGTTCGCTAGCCTTGTGATTGGTGGAAGAATGATCCCATGTTTTGTGATTGGAGGATGAATACTCCCTTGACTTATGATTGGAAGAGGCATGTTTGGAGGGCTTTTGGTTGGTCAAGGAGTGCTCCCACGCTCTGTAGGAGGAAGTATATTCCCGGGACTTATGATTGAACAAGCATTTCTCCCGTGGTTTGTGGTTGGACAAAGGTGCTTGCTCGTGGCCATTGATCTGACCCTCTTGCTCTTCCAGAAGGGAGGGTGTGGTAGAGCGGCTGCTGCCTCCTCGGTCTGGATACATGTCATCGGTCCAATTGTTAGCCCCTCCCCTTGACAGATCCATCCCCCGCCCCTCCACCATTACCTGGATCTCGGCCCCGCCTTGATCATCCACAGCAGTCTGACGCATGAAGCAAGCATTTCTGGGGTGATGGGTGTGCTTGGGTGGACTGTGGGGGGGTGAGGTGGGTACACTCAGCATGGGGCTGAGATCAGGTGGCGTGGTGTCTGGAGTGCACAGCTCCGGACTGTCTGTTTCTGTGGAGATGACCTCATGGTCTTTGTCCTTGGTGTCCTGATGCTTGGGCCTCTGACATTCGAGCCCTGTGAGAGCAGTTTGAGAACAGCACCACTGAAGTGATTTGGCACCAGTCCAGAACAAACCCATCAGACCTACAGTGTGTGTCAGTGTCATTAACATGCAGAGTAACAAAAGGAGTGAAAGGCTGCGTAAAGACTGAACAATGTACAGGCAATCACTGTTGTCTTAGAGAGGGTGAAAATTATTACACTTGATTTTTGTGTTCTGAAAGGCCAATCCTCTATAGTTGGCATTTATTATAAGATTAACATATGTGTGGACACACTGAGCCCGCATACTGTAAATCCACATACATATGCAATGAGAATGTGTGGCCAAATATTTGACTAGTAGTGTATATATGGATATATAATTAACCTATAGTTCACATATAGAAACATGCTTTTTTGTAGATTTTAAATGAATATGTAATTCAATATGCTCTTTTATCATATCTATAATTTGCTGCCTTTTTGATTTAGACTGTTACAACACAGCTTTCCTTCTCTCTCTGTCACTCCAATTTTATGTACAGAGTTTTTTATTGACTGGAAGGTTATAAGTTTTTAGCTATGTTGACTTATTGAGATCATACCAATGCTTGAGCAGTGAATACTTGAGCAGTGTGTTTAATGAAAAAATGTTGACATGTCAAATACTTACATTAATTTGCCCACTATGCAGTATAGATATATATGTTTATATGGGAAAAACAACTGAACCTACAGTAAGAAAAAGCACTGAACCAGGTGATTCCACTAATTAGTTCTGTTACCTGTGTTAATTTGAATCAGTTGGGTTGGTGCATGTAGCTATGAGAACCTCGACTCTTTTAAAATAGCCATCTACGAATGCATCATTTGTTACCAAGCTTCCACACAAGAAAGATCTCATGATGGATAGAGACAAAGAGCTTTCCAAAGAACTTTGAAGCAAGATTTGCAAATGTTAACAAATAATAACACTTTTGCTTGAAAAATGACCAAAATAATTAATTAGTTATCAAAACTGCTGCAAGTTATTGTTCCATCTATACTGTCTGTTACAGTAACTAGTGAATCCTCCAACTGTTCACAGCTCTACACTGATCAAAGACATATTCCGAGTCTGTTTGTGGTAATTTTGCATCTCTTTGTAGTCATTCTGTGGTGCTTTATGGTCAGAGAAATATTAGCAGTCATTTCTACAGGTTCAGGGGCTCAAGGGATCAAGGGCACCCTGGACCTGTGCCCATTAGACCCATTCAATAAAATATTAAATCATTATATTATCAAATTATTACTACTTTAATATTGGCAGTCAGCAAATATCAGCAGGGCTAGCCTGTTGATTATAAAAGATTTGCAGGTTAAATGGAAATGTTTTTATATCATCACACATATTAATCAGTGGTAAATACTGTCATATAATGCAAATTACCCTGTGTAGTGATACAGAATGATACCGGTCAAATGAACTATGGCATCCATCAGATGTACGTTTACCGGAATTAAAACTTGTCACGCTGGGTCTGCTGATCACTCACCATTCCCATAGATGTGGAAGGAGGGAGAAAGTTCTTTGGCAGCTATCCGGGCCAGTCGACACTCTTCCATGGCCTTCTGTGCCACTCCTTCAGCTGCCTCCGCCTTCCCACGAGCATGGCTCATCCTGCACAGAAGAGGGAGCCACTGAGGTCAAACAGGCTTCATAGGTTATTATTGGTTCTGTATCTATGTAATACTGCTTTGTTTGACCTGACTTGAGCTGAAATGGCTTCCCACTTTACCTTTATTTTAAAAACTATTTAGATTAGTCAAGCAGAATTTCCATAATTTGTAACAGTGAACATTTGAAGCATGTAATTTATTTATTTAGTTTGTATTCTGCATTCTGTTTCTGCCATCATGTCGTGCAGTCGTGGAATCTAACTTAGTACATTTAATTAAATACTTAACAGTACTTATGTACACATTTAACATACTTGTACTTTACTTGAGTATTTTCTTTAGATGCTTTATACCTCTGCTCCACTCTAACTGAGAAGGTTGTATTGTACTGTTGACTTTACAGATTCAGATTATTGCATGCAAAACATGAGGACCTTAAAAAAATATTTGTTTTGTTACAGATTAAAGTGGTACCCAACGACATGTAACAGTAAAAAGTAATACAAGTACATCTCAAATGATTACTCAATTATGCAACTATTTTAATATTTTTGTCATTTTTCATGTAAACATGCCAAAACATTTGACTGTTCCAGCTTCTGAAATGTGAGAATTTGTTGCTTTTCTTTTGAACTAGTTTAATCATTTTGAGGTTTGGATTACTGGTTGGACAAGTATTGTGAAGGTGCCAAACATTCAGTCAAATCATTTAATTGAAAGATTTATCAAGAGATTAATCAGTGAGGTAAATAATAAAGTAGGCAGTTAGTTGTGGTCCTTGACATTGGCGAACCTCTTTTTAAAGGGAGGGTGTTTCAGGGATAAAATACATCATGTAACACACAAGTAAAACAAAGTGAATTTGGTTAGACCAGTGGTTCTCAGCCTTTTTTGGGTGAACGCCCCCTTAAGTCATATGTCTTATGTACTGTAACAACCCCACAGCTGTCATTGTATTTGTATTCAGATGTTGCTAACTGCTGATTGGTGCACAGAAGTATGCCACATTTTCTGACATGCCATATCCAACAAAAATTCTGTAATCTCTCCTGTAAGATAACCACAAGTGTTGTAGCACTGACAGAAATGGTGAGTAGCCTAAATGCAGGTCCCCAGTGGTCACAGCAAAAAGCTGATTGAGAAAAGATGCTTTCAGAGTTGTTAGGGAATGTCTTACCTTGACATGGCAATCTCAGCTTTCTGCTTGGCAATGTCTGCAGCCTTCTCAGCAGCTTCGACAGCTCGATCCACCTTTTCTCTGATTTTACTGGCCCTCAGTGGAATCAGGTTCTTGCGTTTTCCACTCACTAGCACATTCTGCTTGTACTTTCCCTCCTCCTTGGTGCCATCGGGGAAAGTAGTGCACCCATATCCGTGCCTCTTGTTCCCTGCCCATTCGCCTGCGTAATGCAGGCCGTCTGAGCGCCGACTCACGCCCCATCCAGCCCTCTGGTCGGTCCGCCACTCACCAGCGTACATTTCAGTGACGGTGGCATCCACAGGAGAACCCTGCTCACTCTCACTTGCGTTAGAGTGGATGTCAGACGCAGCAGAGCTGACGGTGCTCATGCCAGCTTCGCTACAGAAGGAGCTCTGCTTGCTGAGCTGACTGGCCAGAGAGCTTTTGGACTCAGAGCGTCGAAGCTTCAGTCCGCTGAGGATGGACTGACGGAAGCGGCCTTTTCTCTTCCTCTGTCGTTCAGTTTCACTTGGAGCTGTCAGAGCGAACCCACCTCGGCCCACAGGGCTCCCAGCCAGCCCGGCCACCACCCCGTCTGTGGGGGTGGTGGCAGTGCCATCCTCCAGCACAGCCGGAGGGCCGTGGCTGTGCTCGGAGCGGAGGGAGTTTATGGATGTTCGCAAAGGGAAGAGAATAACGGCCGCCATGCCGTATGGCACACTCTGACGCACACCATAGCCATGACGCATGCCTCCCAGCCACTGGCCTTGGTAGGTTCCTGAAACAAAGATAGTGACAAAATGAGAGTCAGATGAAGAAATATGACAAATGCTTATGGAAGTTTTTCCTAGCTTGCAGCCATGCGAGCCTCTAGGGATGATACTGTCTGTTGGCGGGTCCACTGCTTCTAATCCAGAGTAGCTCTTTATTTTCATCATTATCATCTATTTATTCCATGGCTATCTTAGAAATTCTCATAGTGGTAATATTAACTTAAATACACATGATTCTTTACTGCCATTATACACAAACACATTCTGTCTCTAATTGTTACAACACTATTGTACTCAAAATTATCGTGCAATTAAAAAAAAAAGTTCAACATTAAAAGATTTATAAAGATAGAGGCGAATGCAGGACTCTTGAGTTGGATGGCACAATTGTGGATGTAATATTAACATTGGAGCATTTGTCTTAAAAAAAAAACAGTAGTAATCATTTGTATTCTAAAATGCCAACAAATGTGTGAAAAGCAACAGATATATTTATTTGTGTGTACACTTTTAATGACTGTTAATGCCAGAAATAAAATCTTTGAAATATCCCAGTGTCAAGATGAGACATATTGGCATGACATCAAAGCTGTTAAAATAAAAAAAAACAAAAAAAAACACTTGAAATAAACCCAGAGTAACACCAGATATAGGGCATCTCTAGGCTGCAAAAAAGTTCCTGTGTTGAGTGAACAATTTAAGATTTGGCAGAGGTGGGATGTGGAAGACCAACATAACATACTACAGCACAGGATGAAGGGCCAACAACGTGACAGTTTCATCATTTCTAAAACAAAAAAGCAGGCTTGTCATTCTAAAATCTTCCCTGAAGTTTTTCTTCAAGTTTCTAAAAATGATCAGAAATAAAACCTTTTGTTATACACAATCATTTGAATCCGTTATCCTGAAGTTCCCGCAACATGCCCTCTTCTCGTCTTCCTCGCCATACACCAATGAAATCAGTCAACTGCAATCAACACCCATGCTTCTTTCAAGGAGAAGAGCTCCCTGGAGAAACTTTCAAACAAAGCAGGTCTGCAGTAGGGAGAAGTCGACATCTTACACACTCCATTCTTTTTGCAAACCCCTGAGGTGGTCAGAACAAAAGGTGGAACTGATCCAGAGTGTCATATTACTGGACAGGAAACTCAGCAGCTTCCGGTTAAACTCACACTTTGTCGCTTCCATTTACAGGGGAGCTCGGCAGCAGAGCTTCCAGCTAAAAAGGCTGGAGAGTTTTAGGTCATGAAAGGCATTTCAGTAGCTGTCTACACTTCCTTCATGCAATCTTGGCTCAGCCTCAGTAGGTCCTACTTTATATCACTAGACAGCACTCAGGAGAGTGCAAACCTCCGCCAGGGTATATCAGTTTCCCCATGATGCCATTCTACATAAAAGCTATTTTCCCATAATAGTTTGCCTCTCATAATATAATTCCTTGACCATGAAAACCTCTCCCCAATATTTGGAACTACATTGATATTTTTATTAGTTTGAATGTTATTCACGAAATATGATAGACTTGAGCAATTACTAAATGCTACAAACAGCTAAATAGCCTAATTGTCCCATGCAGACTGAAATAATGTCTACTTACAGTTCTTCATAGACATATACAATGCACACCATTTGGTTGCACGTAAGTCCTCTTTAGAGTCCACTTTCCAACAAGCCTCCTGCTATACTTATTAGCTCCACTTGATTTCACTACAAATGCTCTTCAGCGCAGCTGCACACTTTCACCACAAGGGGAATCACATATAGTCAGAAGCCTTTCCAACACTCACAATGGTGAAGAATCCTTTAAAATATTATTTGGTCCAGATCAGTACCAGTATCCAGTGGATTGTTCCATAGGCCAAACCTTACCTCTCTAAAAAACTTTGTCAAATCCATTCTTTTTGAGTGAACAAACCAACCAGCAGTCATTAAAACAGCATATACAGAAGTTCAAATTAGCTCCACCTTTACATTGGGTGACAATACAAAAATGCATGTGTAAGTATAATCCAGTAATATAACATACATTTATGTGAGATGTTTTACATTTAGTACTTAGTGTATACTTGTATGCTAAAATTGCTGTAATACCACTGTTTGGTGCTGAGTAGGTAGTGTAGGCCTACAGTGTTTTTGTTTGTTTTCTTTAGCTTTTAGAACTTTTCATAGAAAGCTGTTGCCTGCTGCTGTAAACAACACTCTGATAGCAATGAGAATTCATCAAAACAATAAAATTGTGGATCATGAAACCAAAGTGAGGAGTTACAGTTAAAAAAAGGATAAAACCTTCCAATGAACTGAGGTGAACTGAGTTTGTCACTATGACCTTTTTATTTTATTTTTTTTTTCATGCAAATGTTTGAAAATATGGCAGTAGTCTGGTTCTGGTCAGTAGAATATTCCTGAACTTCTTGTAAGGTGAGCAAGTTTATTTAACAGTAAACCAAGAAAATATAAAATGTAACCACACCTGACGTTTTGTTGTCTCTTTCCAAATAACACTCAGGCAAGACATGATTGGTTTTGGCAAAGCACGATGACCCTTTAAAGCAGACTTAATAGATTTGTTTTGGCCACTTGGGGGCAGAGCAACAGGCTGCAAACACTGACCTCAGCCCATGTAGTTGTTATGAAGTGTGTATTAGCAAATATCAACTTGTTTATACATCCAGTGGACTCAACAGCTATTATTAACTTTGCCTTTCTGCTGTTTGGTGTAGGTTTAGACCTATTGAAGTTTTTTCACTGAAAATGAAGAAACACCATTGTCACTATGCCTAACCCCTCATTTGTATATTGTTAATATAAAATATTGATTAGAGCAGCTTTAAGGTGATATCTGCATTATTACCTGATCTTGTAAGTATGCAGTGCTTTTGCATGGGACAAGTGATTACGTTATGTAAACAGTCGGTTGAATAAAACTACATGGTTTTTGTGCTGTTGATGGGCAATATTGTCCCACAGTGCAATACAAAAGGAAACAGAGGGGTGTTCATAGCTGCAAAATATTACATTAAATTGCAGAAGGTGTTTAACAACCCATGTAAGATGTGGAAAAACAAAACATGCAAGCTGTTAGTATATTAATATGCTGCTTTGTCTTTGTTAAGTTTCATTGGCAGTGGCATATTCATTGGTACGTGAATTAGGACTATATTGTTTCCTCTTTATAAAAAAATGTTAAAGAACACTGATTGTCTTGTTTACTACCTAAAACAGTGTGCTATACAGATTAGCATAGCCTATATACAGTACAGTATACTGCATACAGTCAGCAGACCTATGTACTGTAGTCCAGACACCGGCACTGAGACACAACTACGCTTACAAATGGAGCTGTCCATTGTTCTGAAACCGAATCTTGTTGCTCTATATACAGACAAAACTAAATCAAATATTTCACTTCATGCTGCTTATTTTCAATATTTTTCCCAGTAATTTGCCTTTTTGAGTTCCAGCCCATTGTTTATCATCTGAATAAGTGAAAATTATTTTGGTATTAAGCTTTTTAAGGCTCCGGGACTAGAAAAACAGGTTTTTATGTTTCTGGGTCAGGAGCTGTCTACAATACTGAAATCAAACCCTGTGGCTTCACATGCAATCCAATCTCAAGTCTCAAATGTTTTCCCCCTGAATATTCTGTGTATCCATTATTATTATTATTACTACAGGCAAGTATTTTCCTCGAGCTTTTTAAGACGCAGGAAGTTCTAAATACGGTTCTGCCTGGTGTAAAGTAACTGAGCACATTTAGCCTACATTCACGTTATTTCACTTAAGTACAGTAGGCTACTAGAGTTAGTTACCTTTACTTAACAATAATATTTGCATTTCTGCTACGTTATAGCCTAATTCCAGTCCACTTCATGTCGGAAGGAAATGTACTTTTCACATCACACTATTGTAAGATTTTGCTTCACAGCTACTTTGAGGATCAGCCTATATAACTGCTGCAGATGCAGAGTATGCATATGGTAAGTTTATAAAATACAACACACTGTTGAATTTGTTGTGGGTTCCAACTTTGTTGGCTTGTGATACCTTAAAAATAATAATAAAATAAAAACAGCGTGTAACTGTGGGTTCGAACAATTTTCACATATCCATGAGAGACATTTTTTCTCGAACTGTTTCATTTAAAAATGAAATGAATGCTTGAGGGACACATTTTGATACTTTAAATGTATTTAGATAACGATGCTTTTGTAGGCTACTTTTATTAAGAGTGGGAATTTGAATGCTGAACTCTTAGTTGTAGTCCAGTATTTTACTGATACTTCTACTACTTCGTCCACCACTAGTTTACTGTTCAGGAGCTGTCAGCGGTGCTGAAACCCAAACCGGCGGTCTCACGCTCGGTGGACCTGTCTGTACAGTAGGTGGAGTATGGTTTGATAATCGCTTGCTCTGCTGGTCGACCTGTCTCTTTGGGGGGGAAGGGGTGGGGTGGGGGGTCTGTGTATTTGACGGAGAAAAGCCTGCACAATTGGGCTGTGGAAAATACTGTATGTCTGCGGGCGCGCGCCCTATTCATCTGTCGGAGGGCTTCCACGTGAGCGGAAGAAAGAAGCAGAGCTGTTGTGTGACGCAGTCTTTTTTTATGTTGTCCTCTTCTCCCGTTTCCCTTCTTTGAATTTCACAGTGTTGTATTACACCAACAGGTGTACGGCTGTAACGTTAATGCTCACGCAGGGAGCCGTCTAAAAAACAAACTCCACGTTTCATCATCCAGGTGCTGCGCGGTGCTCGGGGGGGCGGGCGTTACAAGCATTGGTTATCAAGCGGCCTAGATTACATGACCCAAAGTCACCGAGACTGACAGAAGCAGAGAGCCAATTAGAGAGCTGAGAGCTGGTCCCTAGTGACACGCTGACCTGCTGCCTCCCGTTACCATGGAGACTTCACAGCACAGAGGGTGAGATGCAGAGGGGAGAGAGGTGAAGGTGTTATACACCTGATATACCTGTGCGCACCAAACAGCAGTGATGAGAATTCAACATGGTTTCATTTCTAATATTAGATACACTTGCCCTCTTTTTATCACCATCCGTAGCCTGCTTCTGTTGTTTTCTGACACTAATGATAAGGGCTGGCCAGTGTGAACGTGAGTTGAACATTTGTGGTTGTTTTTTTTTTTTTTTCTAGCCATTGTAAATCTGATCTCCAAACTAGAGTTTGGCATGAAAACAAAAGCATGGGGAAGATATTTGGGGGGTAAAGTGGCCCTAACAGGTGTGTTTCAGACAATCAGTTTGAGCCTTACCTCCGTCAGAGTAGGTTTCAGTGCCATATCCATCCTGCAGACCATTGCTCCATGTCCCCTCGTACCGGGCCCCACTGGCTGTGCTCTCCAGCTGCCCATAGCGACCTTTGAATCCTTGCGTCCACTCCCCTCTGTACTCCCAGCGGCCCTTGCTCTCCACTCCAATGCCATGCCGCTTGCCCTGCGCCCAGGTGCCCTGATAGTTGTTCCCACTGGGCCAAGTGTACACACCCAAGACCTCAAAGCCATGACTCCAGGTCCCTGCGTACTCGCCCTGTCCGTGGGGCCCTGTGCACACCCCTCGGCCATGGGCCTTACCCTGCTCCCACCCCCCGCAGTACGACCCCCCATCATCAAAGTCAAACCTGCCTCCAGTGGACATGCATGAAACAGGTTTAGGCAAATCCTTAGAATGTCAAGAAAAAGAAAAGACAAGGGCCTGGTTCACTCAGAGGGAGCAAGAAGGAATGAGGCCTCGTTTGAATCAAGTAGCATGGAGGTGTAGGGCCTTGACTCACCCTCTCTTCTTAGTTTAGGAGAAAAAACACTGGCTGCTCATTATAAAAACGAGAAGATGGCCCAAAAAGCATCACCCTATGATGGAGAAGCAATCTAAGCCTCAGCAATGGGCCTAGAGTGATGAACACAGCTGCCCATGGGTATGCAGGCTCAGAGTACTTCTCCCCTTCCTCTGCCTCTACTTCCTCGTCCACTTTCAGCTCCACGCAGCCTGGCAGCTTGCCGGCCCGTTGCCTCAGCCGTGCAGCAGGGCACTCCAGACAAGCAAGGCCTAGGTGTTTCCAGTCCCAGAGGCCCACAGAGCGGCGACAGCGGCAGCAACCGAGCTCAGCTCAGTCAGACATTACAGCATCCCCACATCCCTGCTGCACCAGCAAACAGAGAGGGAGATGGGGTAGGGATGCTGCTGCACTCCTACGGCATTTAAAAAAAAATCATAGGAGCAGAGAAGTTGAAGATATTTCTCTATAGCATGGCCTGGAAACAAGCAATCCAAGCTAACACTCAGAAAATCACATCCATAACCACACACATGCAGCCTCAGCCTTGCACGCACTCCTCGGCAGAAATAATGGAGTGTGAATATTTTTCCGTATCTTATTTCTTCACCTTTTTTCTCCTCTTTGCTCTGCTGTGATCTTAATATGAGGCTCTTTCCTGAAGATGAGGCTGTGAAGAGCAAGAGGAAAAAATATAAGCAGAAAATTATTCCTCCCCTTTTCCCTCTGTCCTTTCCATTTTAGCACTCGCCTAAATCTGGATTGTTGTATCCCAATTCCACCAAGTCATCCGTCCTCTCCTGGTTTTTGGCCTCTCTCTGGCTCTTTCTATCTCTCTGTCTAAAATCTGCTCATTACAGGACTGTTTCACCCCAGCCAATACCCCTCCCCCACATACACACATGCACACTCTGAACACACACTCCTTCTCTGGGCTCTTAAAGAGATAGAGACGGAGGGATGTTGCGAATAGCTGCATGTACAGAGCTCGCTGCTCTCTCCCTTTGGGGATACAGCCTGCTTTTCCTAATTATCCAGCCTCATTTCACTCGCTCACACTCCTCCTCCTCCCAGACTGAAATGTGGACAGTCAGCAAACTGTTTTCCTGATAACTGGAGGTTTGTGAGCTCATTGATCCTGTGCCACTCTCATTTTAGCTAATTATTTGTCTTTTTTAGCTGTTGTATCAAAGGCTAACCAATGGACTGTATGGGTGTCACTTGAGTGAGCTTTACTGAAGACCTCAAAGACCCAGAATGACCCTGTTCAACAGAAAAATGCCCACCAACCTACAAACACATTTCTAAACCCCGTATATGAACATGGAACCAAATTATGGGCGCTTCAACCACCTTGATGTTCGGAGCAGTCACATGGTTAATATTTTTCTAATCAATGACTGGAGCATGATGGTATTGGAAATCTTTCTCTCATTGAACACACCATCTGTTGGATTGTATGGTGACCGGTAACTGATGTCAAAGGAGGAAAGCGATATTTATGGTTGTTACGCACACAGTGGAAAACCCAACATAGGTGCGACATAAATCAACATTATAATACTCTAAACAGCCCTATACACATAAACACACACACACACACACACACACATTTATGTACTAATAACAGTATGTAGTAGCAACAATTTGCAAACCAGATGTTCAGTGCACCATCTTTCTTTGTTAAATGTGACCCAGAATAAACAACAAACATATACAGTACTGCTTTTTATATCAACAGTGAGGGCAAACAAGGAATCAATAAAATAACTGAAAAGAGCCAGAAATAATGTCCTAATTACTGCTTCATGGTTGTACGCCTCCGCCAACCAGTCAAATTCGTGGGTATGGGACAGAAGTGAGGTCACTGAGCTCTGATCTTTGACCACCAAAACATAGTCAGTTCATTTTTGAGTCCAAGTGGACATTTGTGTCAAATTTGAAGAAATTCCCTCAGGGTCTTCCTGAGACATTGTATTCACAAGAATCACATGGACGGGCAGGCAGACAACCTGAAAACATAATGTGGCTATCTCTGGTATGGAGGCATTTAAAAAATGATGTAAGATAGACACTGAAAACGCTTAATATGAAGAATTGAAACATAATTATTCATATTAAGCGTTTTCGGTGTTTGATGCTGGTATCTCCACTCTCTGCACTTCTGTTGCACATTTCAGTGAGCAGATCAGAGTCTGATAAATGCCTCAGAGATAGATGTGTTTTGTGCCTCCTGCAATTCTGTTGGGATTTAAGTAATGTCAGAAGACCTTACTTGTTTTCAAAGTCTCTGCTAATTGGAACCAGTGCGTTACATTGTTGAGGGTCTGGCTATAAGTGCAATGGTTATGGTTGAATGGTCCAACAATAGAGAACAAGACATAATTCAAACAGGCAGACACAGTGAGGACAGTAAACACAAAGTTCTCATTGAAACACTAATATAAATATGGCAAAATACTACAGTATATCATGGTAAGTTTAATCATAATCACAGTAAGTGGCACCTTTATCTCTTGATGTTGCTTTCACATCCTGCACATCTGCATGAGAGCATAAAAACAAACAAAAAAATCCATCCCTTCTTAAAAATATATAGTCAATTACTGCCTTGTTAACACTACTTTTATAAAGCCATATCCAGTGGCCATGGGGGCCAGAGGGGTCCCTGCAACTGAGCCTCTGTGTGAAGTGACTATTAAAATGTTCTGTCAGCTTAATTTTTTTCATGAGCAGTCTGTTGATTCTTTTAGATTTTAATTGAAGAAAAGAGAAAGCCAAAACATTGAGACTTGAAAATCACACAGAAGTGAATTCACGCTTCCTCCTCTCTCTCTCTCTCTCAAGATGATGTACTTTATAAAATGTGTCGTGATCCCTCATTTGGTGCACTTCAAACATTTACAATAATCAGTATATGTGTTGAGGCATTTTCAAGTTTGTGTTTAAGCAGGAAATTTGTCACTTGCACCTTGGAAAGAATACTAGCTGGAAGTGAGTGTGACAGCAGAGAAAGCAGTGGAAAAATTTAATGAGCTGCTGTCTGCACACAGTTCATCACGATCTTTGTTCTTGCTCACTAGCTTTTCTTTTATACTTGAAGGAGTATGAAGACAAATGACTATGATAAATAACTTAAAGGCCTCACAAACAACATTCAAGCAAGCATGAATGCACACATCGCCAAGAAACACTGTCACATCACACCAGGAAATGTCAGAAGTACCAACGGAGGATTTAATAAGTTGTCTGAGAGTGAGCAGTAAGACATGTTTATCAAGTGACTTCCACCTAATCACAACTGAGTGTAAAGTCTCTTTTAAGAGCAACTCACATATATGATCAGTGAAGAGATTAGATAATCAGAGATACAGGCTGACCCTGCATCTGAAAACCGTGCCATGAGGTCAAGTTAGAGATAGTGATGCTCTGACCCAGTCGTCTAGCCATCAGTTTGGACCTTGTCAAAGTCACTCAGATCCTTACACTTGCCTGTTTTTCCTGCTTCCACCACTTAAACTTCGAGGACTGAATGTTCACTTGCTGCCTTATATACCCCACACACAGAGGAGCCACTGTAACAAGATAATCAGTGTTATTCACGTCACCCGTCAGTGGTCCTAATGTTATGGCTGATTGGTGTAGATCTCATCTCGTTTTCTATACCGCTTAGTCCCGAACAGGGTCGCAGGTGGCTGGAACCAATCCCAGCTGGTGTAGATCTTAATGATGTATACATATGCAGGTAACAGGTCAGTTAATTTATAAACTTGTTAAAGTGAGTGAAAACGTGTCACACTGACCTGTTAATGGCTGAGCCAGTTACTACTAAAGTCATCTGCCACAGTAATGTGTTGTTAAAACTCCCAGAGCACATTTACATGTAATATGTCATAGCGATTTACCTTTTTTAGATCCATGGTACAAGCCGATTCCCATCCACTGTACTTTCTATGCCTCCATGTCAGCAATAGCTGCAACCAGACTCATTACGTTTTCGGGTTGTCCATCCATACAACCAACTCTTTTGAATGTGACATCTCAGGAACACCTTGAGGGAATTTCTTCAAATTTGGTGTCCACTTGGACTCAAAGATAAACTGTGAGAAGTCTGCTTATACCACAGGCTCCAATGTATAAGGTGAAGATAAGTGTTAAATACAAAGAACTCAAAACAAAAAAGTACCAAGTGTAAAAACAGCATGCCAGTAATATGTAATTACTGTAGAATCATTCTGCCCTGCTGACAATACCCAAAGATATCATATTAGCACTTAGCATTCATTTAGCTGTTGCAGGAGCCTCCTTACACACAACGCATGTTACCAAAACTATCTGCATAACTAGCTACTACAGCAGTATAAAAGGGCAAACAGAACTGAAAACAACCCTCAGATTTTAAAAATCATTCGACTACTTAAAGGTCCAGTGATGGACATTCACCTAAGGAATTAAAACAATAACAAATCTTAATTTACAACCTAGAGTTTTATCCCAGCAGCAAGTTTTTTCAAATAATGATTTAGACAATATTTTCAGTACATATGGTGAAGATGTTACAACAAGCTGTTTATTGGTAAAATACCACAGTGTAATTTACAGTTTGGTAATTAACAGTGACAGTAACAGAAGAATGAACATCCAATTGTACGAAAAGCACTACAAAACAAATCTGAGGGAATAGGTGAGGTTTTCCATCTGTAAACTAAAACGCGTTTAGGTGAGGATGTCGTGGGCCTGCTGCTCCACCAGCATGGCCATGTTCTTTACATCACCACACCAGAAGTCCAGCTGCTCCTTCATACCTTTGATCTGAAACAGTGTCCAACAGGTAAATATTGCCTTGTGTTCCAATGATACATTTTCTGTGATCAGACTCTACTGTAGCTTTATAAGGTGTTTACTGGTTGCATGCATGCTCTACATTTGGCCAGTTACCACAGGTTAAAAAAAGAAGGATGGGGCAAAAAAAAAAAAAAGGAAATGCTAGTATTAATCTGTTCCAAATCATATGAACACAATGAGTACTGACCTGCTGCAGGTCCAGCACCCTGGGCTGCACCCAGGTCATCTGCACCTTCTGGTCCACCTCATCAATGTTGCCTCTGATAAGGCCCACAGACAGAGCCTTCATCACCAGAAGCTCCACCTGCAGGAGACAAACACACAGAGCAACAGAAATTACTTCAAGCCATCAGGTCTCTACAGTTTTCCTCACCAATAAATGCTTTATCATGCTGACAAAGCTGAAGTGATTAAATACACGTCTCATCCAGCTGACCTCATTAACAGGGATTTTGGCACTCTGAGCGATCTCGGCGAAGGTCAGCTGTCTGTGGTTCGCAGGGCGAGTGAAAGTCATCTGGAAGGCAAAACAGACATTTTAAATGATTTCACAGACTGGTTTTAAAACTGAAAAACTACATTTTGGACACCTGTAAAGATGATCTGCAGCTGGTAAACAGCACAAATCTGCATGTTTAAGTAGATTAACACTACGACTGTATAGATTTATGTCAACTCTTCCATCACATACACCGATTGTGGTGACAGCCATTTTCTGTGCTGCTGTGCACGACTCAGTCAAAGCTCTCGTTTTGAGAGAACATAAATTAAATTACACATGAGAAGTTACTACATAAAGGTGGTGTCTTACCTCCATCACACAGAGCAGCTGGATCTTCTGCATCAGTTTAGCTTCATGTGCTGCGAGGTCAGGCTAGAACCAAAACATAAACATAAATCAAACAGTTCCCAAATAACAATGAGAGTGAAAGATTTTGACGCATGTGTTCTGTTTTACTGAAAGCTGAATCACAAGTGCCCTCAGAGGTGTCACTGTTTGAAGCTACGTAGAATGGTACAATTTAATTAGTTTAACTTTTAGGGTGGGGGAAAAATATATTTTCTGATATACTGTGATATTTTTTTTTGGTAAAAGATCTTACACAGATTGCTAAAATCCCAAGACTGATCTCTGCATTTGTACCTTTTCACAGTAAAGGGGTACATCTGTGCTAAAAGTTGAGACAGATTTGATTAATGAATTTAAGTAAGTTGTGGAAGACCAGATGTTAAAACACGCAGAAAAAAGGTTATTTTAAGTACAACATACTAACACAGACAATCACTTATATGAGCCACTAATCTGTTACATGCATAATTAGTCTTTGCCAAACACCACAGTTTATGAGGCTGCTGTGACTCAGACCTGTCAAATGTATGAATTTTCTATTCATCTTCCCATATCCAACTAGACATCACTCAAAGAGCATAAACCTCCACCAAAGCATATCACCGTCCCCATAATGCCCTTACACCTAACAGCAACATTCCCAAGACAGTTTGACCCTCATAATGATTCCTTAACCATGAAAGCCTTCCCCTAGTATTTGGAATCATTGATATCATTGTTAGTTTGAAAGTTATTCAATTAATGAATAACTTACATTAATAATGTATTTCAGTAATGGAGTCCGTTTAGGATCTAGCTCAGTAACTTCTGAAGATGTGTCTAATCTGGAGACACCGAGTCAACTGAATTTCAGGTAGAATTTGATTTTATGCAAGTATGTAGCATTGCTCTCTCACAGTAGGTTTTCCATAAGTCCTATAAATGTGAACATTCTGGGCCAGCAGATCCGGAATATTACTTGGATCCAGATCACCCTTTGGTATGTTGTAGATTTTACGAAATCCAAGCACTTTAGGCACGATGTATAGTGTTAGAAGCAAAAATAGTGAAATTGGCCCTATCTCACAATGGTGAACAATCTTTTAAAAAGAAAATTCCTGGATCTGGATGATGATTCAGATCAGCCCCAAGGTCTAATGGATTATTCTGTAGGCTGTACCCCATCGCTCCAAGAAATTTCATCAATATTGATTCATTACTTTTTGAGTTATGCTGTGAACGAACCAACCAAAACACACACCAGCAAAACATAACAAATAGACAAACAAACAACCAGCAACCACACTGGCAGACTTGACCTCACTGGATACATGCTAACCAGAGGTGATGCACACAGATGAGCTCTGTCTCAGTATACAGTATGTTAAGACAGTTAGAGGAATGTGAATCACCTGTTGGCCCCACGCAGACTTGAAGCCCTGGAATTTCTCAACATTGCCTCCATTGAAGGCATATAGTGTATCAATGAGCCACTGTTTGTCCGTATTCCTCAGAGACTCCAGCACAGGATGCATCAGCTGCAAAGCCAAACAGCAGACATGGTCATTACCATGCTGAGCTTCAACTGAAATGCTGACCAGCAGCGATAAACAACATGGAGATAAACATGTTCAATGAGAATCCCACCAGCTCTCCAAAGTTGTAAACTCCTTCCCCTAAGAGCCCAGCCAGTCCGAGTGTGAACGCCCTCTCCTGCTTCTCTGTTTCTGTGGAGTTAACAACCAACAATCCATTATAAAGCCGCTACGTTCAATGCACTATGCTTCATCAACTCGAATTTGTTTCCCATCATGCCCTCTGCTCACCTGGAAGGTCTTTAATGTCCACACATCCAAGGTAGCGCAGAGCATCCTTGTAGTAGGAGGCATGGTTCCCAATGATACGATAGTATTTGCTAGAGAGGTCATAAAACCTGTCGTGGACTGACGTCACCCCAGGCAAGTTGTTCAACATTTCCTCAACTTCTTCAATGAGTTTCTGTAAGACAAAAAGGACATACATGCTGATCTCCACCATTTGCATTCAGAACTACACCATAATATCTGGGCATCATTGGCAGCCTATATTTGTTCATTTCAAACTACTCAGATCTTTGAAACCTTTGCACTATGAGAGAGTTGATTAGTTTTTACTACGTTTATTTACATGCTTCAAGTATAGTCATAGCATGCATTAGTAAGGTATGCCACATGTTGCTTTTTTCAGGAGAAGTCGCTACTTAGAAATGTTCAAGGACAGTTTTTATTACGTATGCATCAATATAAGCTTTACTCTAAGCTTGGGGTTTCTGTCAACACATAGTACACATGTGATACACATACTTTCTTTTCCTCCAATTATAAAACCTTTATATCTAAACAGCCCTGCAGGAGACACCTGCTCTACAGGGTATGTTCTTTTCTTTTGCTGCAACAAGTTGTTTCAGTGAGAAAAGGAATTACACACCTGTGAGAGAGATATAATACACTACTAATTTGTGTAACAGCTGTTGGTTTTGTCACTGCTTTGCCAACACATCATTTGTGAACATTATTAGCAGCTTGATGTTAAAAATGTGCCATGTGTTATATCTGAACGAGGTGTGAGGCACGCTGTGCGTCAGCAGCTTGTAAAGAGGAAGAAGTTGCGATTTTAGGAGCTTTTACCTTTGTGGCAGGAAGATCACTGATCTCCAGTTTAAGACTGCCAATAGAGGTCTTACAGAGAATGATGGCTTCTTCGTTACTTTTCACCTGGTTTAGACACACGCATATTAAAGATTAGTCATAAGAGTTTAGAAAGCTTATGTTTCAGAGCCTATAGTGCTGGCATCAATCAGCTTACTTTTTCCTTTGTCTTCTCAAGAAAGGTGATGGCATCTTTAGGATCTAAAAATAAACAGAAAACACTTTCTTAAACAGTCAGACAAGGTATATTCTGCACAGACATGTTCTCTACTCCATCTCATCATCTACCTGGCATCTGTCTGGCAACACACAGTATAATCTCCACAAGGGACAGAGGATTGATTCTGTTAAGTGAACAGAAATAAGAAATGACCATCAATACTGGCTAACAAGCTGTAGATAGTGCACATTACTGTAACTATTACTAATACATGGAAATGAGCAATTTTACCTCACCTGTGTTCAAAGTCACAGAGGAAATTTTCATAGAGCTGTAAGAAAAATAGGAATTGTCAAAGCACATGTTTAATATTCATCTCATTGGAAATAAATTCTCCACAATGACCTCCAATCCTTTTGGACTATGCCATGATATACTCATGAAGTTAGTCATTTATAGCGAGTATTTGCTTTGTGTTTTATGTAAATCTTATTTTTTGTGATAGACTGGCCATCTGTTCACGGTGTACCCGCCTCTCGCCCAGTGTCAGCTGGGATTAGCTCCAGCCCCCATGACCCTCTACATGATAAGCAGTATAGATACTAGATATATGGATGGATAACCATTTGTTGTATATCATCTAGATTCCTAACATGTGATGTTGTCATGTCTAGGATTAAGTACCCTTGTGAATACCATGTCCAGACACATTTTCACATTCTGATTGCAAACAACAGTAGATAAAAAGCATCTCTGAGTTTAAATGTTGATGACTGTCTGCTTGATGAGGTACAGCATGAAATACAAACTGTTGTGGCCATTCCCTGTTCTGACTGGTGCAAACAGTTTTTCAGTCCTCAAAGGAAGAAAACACAATCCAGTGACATTTAAATCCCTTCTGAGAGTTATATAAAAATAAGCAATCAACAGCTTTATATATCGGAAACAAGTTAGAACATGCTAGGTTATAGCAACACATAAAAATCTGTGCTTTTTTGAAGCTGGTTGTATCATCACACATCAAAAGTCGCACAAGTATGGAATAGCTTGCAGCTGTGGCACATATACCTGTATAAGGCCATCTCCTGTTTTGAAGTGGGGATCTTTAACAAAGTCTGTCAGCTTCAGAGTCAACTGATGCCACAACCTGTCAATATAAACACAGCCAGCTTCATACAGTGTCGGTGATCATCACCAATTCATCTGAATTACAATGCATCACTGCAGTCACTGGCCTAAAACTACAGTACATCATGAAGACAATCACATGTTCCACAGAAATGCTGTAGCTTTTGCAAGGAAATCAACTGAGTGAGCATTCAAAGCTTTAATATACAGGTGACAAGTGACTTTAAGTTACATCTTAGAAGCTTACATGTGAACATCCCAATGACGTGACTATAAACAAACCTCTTTTGCTACATGTGCATAAAGACAACATCAATAACAAAATGTAACATGTCATTAAAAATTATAAGTGAGTTTAAGTCACACTGTGATTACACATACATTCTCCATTCATCTTAAACTGAAACACAAATGATGAGCAATGTTGATTGATAGCTACTGAGTAATTGATTCATGTACATGAAACCCTTGATTAAGACCTCGTTGTCACAGAGTTGCCTGATGGACAGAAATCAGTGTGTATCATCTATACTCAAGAGGTTAATGAATGCCTACATTTTTTTTATTTTCATAAAGTGTCTACCTACCAGTCTATCAATGCCGTAACAAAACGTGGAAAGGTCCTACAGCTGTTCATTACCTGGATTTTAAGGGTGTTTGTCAAGTAACCATTTTCCACTAACGCAGATAAGTAATGACAGTCATTTGAGTTTTACGAGGCAGACTTTCACACCTAACTTCTTTGTATGATCAGTTAATCACATTATGATGTGTACTTAACGTTACGGAACAGCACTAATTACACTTACATCCACTACTTGGCTACTTCTAACGGTGCAGTGACCATAACTATTAAACCCATCTAAATTAGAACTGATGAAGCCTCTTGGATGAGAGGTGACCTTCGACCTAAAAACCTAGTCCAATTGATTTTTCTAAGTTTTTTTTCAGCCATCTAAATTAGATGCTAACAGCTAGAACAACTTGCGGCAGACCGATAAAATTTGTATTAATTGCCCTAAACTTTTGGTGTTGGGCTCAAAGCTACAACCCACTTAAATGATAATTGCCTAGCGTGACTCGTGTTATATGTTCAACAAAATAATATTAGTAGCCAACCTTCAGCTCTGACTTGATAGAAAAAAAACAAAACTTGCTGCTAACCTTAGCCACACAAGCAGCTAGCGTTAGCTCCGTACATGACTCAGCGTACACTTCCAATGAATGAGCTAGCTAACGTTAGCTAGCCTAGAGTTAGCAAAGCCTATGAACATTTAACTATCTGCGTTGCACCTTTTGTTGTACAAATCCTCCAATGTGTGCCACTCCGCCGCCATCTCTGGGGTGGAGCTGTTGCTCTGCTGCTGTTTGAGGTACCCGCTAACATCTTTCATGGTTGCAGTAAACCAAGATAAAGTTTTACTCTGGATAGACAAATTATGTTAACCCCTCAGCTAAAGTCAAGTAGCGTGTCGTAGTGTAGTGCTAGGTAGCTTCAAGACACAAAGAATGATGGGAAATGAATGAGTCATTGCTGCGTTCACGCTCTATTTGAAGAATAAGAACAACATGTAAACACACGTAGTTGCAAGTTGGGAGTGTTACCGCATTAGTAAAAGGTGGTTAGCCCTGGTGCTAACATTGTAGTCACACCGGACATACCGTAGATATAAACACGTCTGTGTGTATATTTGTCTTTGTTGTCTTATTTATTTGCAACATTTTGTTAAGATATCAAATGAAAGCATATACAAACGTGGGCAGCACGAGTTTCACATAATGCATTAGAGATAATTAATTTTTTTATATAACATCCAGTGGTGGGTGTAAATATTCTGCCAACATTTTGTTGACACGTCTGCAAATCATAATTACGATTTTTAAAATGTGATGAATGCAGCACACGCCTGCTCTGTTTGGGTTGATGGGAAATGTAGGATGCGTTGCTAATGTTAGCCATAGCTGAGGATATTGAAAGTAGATTTCGTCTCTCTTATAGACTTTATTATGGCTTATTTAGTGAGCTCCTCACCTGCCAAACTTTGTTGTTTATATCGCAGTCTGTGTTTAAGAACAAGCCGGGCGCTTTATGCGAACGGTTAGTAAACAAGCAAGACAGTGCTGCGACAGTAATAGTATTTATGGTTGTAAATGTGACACATCTTGTTTTTATAGGTTTTGGTCAAAGCAGCTGGTGTTCTGGTGAAGGTGCAGCAGCTGTGTGCAGGTACTTCTCCATTGCACCACTGCTCTGTGGGTGCAGGTTTGAGAATCACACCGCACACATAAGAGCTATACGTGCATTCAGGATCATAAATAAAACAGCCTAGGTAAACCTAAGTTGTCTCTACAGCTGCGTAAGAGCAGGAGTGCATTTTTACAAGCAGGTTCGAGCAGATTTTTAATGGACCCAACACTCCATATTATTGCATTTTTGGATTTTCTTTAAATCAGTGAGAGCTTACAACTATTTATCAATCTTTCTAGCAATAGGAAGTTAATTGTTAACTATTTTCATAATTGCTTAATAGCCTAATTGACAACCTGAAACCAGAGAAGCTTTCTTGATTCCATTGATTAACTGACTAATTGGTGCAACTGTAATTACAAGTGCACTTAGCATTTGTAAATGAGTAAGTAAATAAAGCATTAGACCTGATATAACATCAGTGGTGCACTGCAACAATAAGATACAGGATATGTGATGTAAGTATGATGAACAAAGTTTGATTTAACTTAGAGGCTGCCTAAAAATATGAGTGGAGTTGTTGAGTCCCTTAATCCTTGTTTTGCTCCTTCACAGAAAAACAAACTATCCCTGTTGTGATGGGACCCGAGGGCTCTTCTCCCATGGTGGCGGTGCAGCTGTAGAGCAGCAGACCCTGAAGGACATTGCAAGAAACATCAGAGAGCAGCATTATAAGAGGGTGGTGGTGATGGCTGGGGCTGGGATCAGCACGCCCAGTGGCATACCAGATTTCAGGTAAAATGCTTTGATGTGGTTTGCTGTCTCAGTGTTGTAGTATTTCTACAAATGTGCTGCAGGCATGTGAGGTGTATTTTGGGGTCTGTCAGCAGATGAGTATTTGCTCCCTCACAGGTCCCCAGGCAGTGGTCTCTATGACAACCTGCAGCAGTATGACTTGCCCTATGCTGAGGCCATATTTGAGATAGACTTTTTCCACCAAAACCCTAACCCCTTCTTTGCCCTGGCCAAAGAGTTGTATCCAGGAAACTACCAGCCCAATCTGACACACTACTTTGTACGTCTTCTTCACAAGAAGGGTCAGCTTCTCAGGATGTACACACAGAACATTGACGGGCTGGAAAGATGTATGTACTGTATTTGTTTTTTCAAAATTACTATGCATTGTGCAGTCAGTAATGCTTATTTTTGTGTGTGTGTGTCTGTATTAAGTGGCAGGGATTCCTCCTGAGATACTGGTGGAGGCCCACGGCACATTTGCCACTGCCACCTGCACTGTCTGCCTGCGGAAATATGAGGGCAAGGACCTACGAGTGAGTTATAACCCAAACGCTGCTAAAGTGGAAACATGTTTTTGAATCTTTTGCAAATTTATTAAAGTATTTTCTTGCATTTTAAAAAGACCATATACCAGTGTTAATCGAATACCTTAAGGAATTGTGAATAATAGCTAGATAAAATGAGCTTATCACTTAAGACTCAACACATCTTGTTTCCATGCCTCATCAGCCAGAAGTAATGAGTGGGACAGTCCCTAAGTGTCCCACCTGTAAGGGCGTGGTAAAGCCTGACATTGTGTTTTTTGGGGAGGAGCTTCCACGGCACTTCTTCAAATACTTCACAGATTTCCCACTGGCAGACCTCCTGATCATCATGGGCACTTCACTGGAGGTGAGCATCACCATCTTCATACCACACCATGTCTGAGTAATCTGATTCATTTCCAACTGAAACAGTGTCACGATGAGAGGTAACATGAGGCAGGACCGTGCATCACTGGACAGGGTGGGACAGAACAAACATGGAAACTGTACTTTGCATTAGAGATGCAACGATTGCAATTTTTTGGGCCGATTCGGATTTCAGATTTTTTAAAAGTCTGACCTGCTGATTCCAATTTTCTTTCTTTCTAAGAACTGTAATTGACAGCATATCAAGACAGTTGCAGTAATGTTTAGTAAAGTCTTAGTTGTTTAAAGAGGTATCTGACGTAAAAACAGGGAAATTTAATTAATGGACTCATCTATCAAGTACATACGTAACAAACACCCTCCATTTGTTACCATAGTATTTGTGTAGAACTACAAACCGCTGTTCACACTTTGCCCTGCAGGTGGAGCCCTTCGCCAGTCTGTCAGGAGCTGTGCGTAGTTCGGTTCCCCGTCTGCTCATTAATAGAGACTTGGTGGGGCCGTTTGCCTGGAGCCGCCGGCCCCACGATGTCGTACAGCTCGGTGATGTGGTCAGTGGTGTGCAAGCTCTAGTTGACTCCATTGGCTGGACTCAGGAGCTGGATGCTCTGATGTCAGCCGCTGCTGAGAAGGTGTGTGTGTGTTTTGTTTGCAAACACACATTCATTCTAACTTTTCTACTTCAGCCTTCACATGGACCTTTTGGATAGTTAATATTTTGTTAAAAGCTGAAAAGGATGGAAAGACCGTGTTTACTGTAATCAAAAGGCCAAGATTTTTGTTATTAATCGGGGCAAATGTTTGACCACAGGGAATCTCATAACTTATTGTCATCAAACATAGTGCACCTTTTCCTCCAAGGTCATACACAGTAAGCTGCAGACACTGCATCACAAGCACTAAGGATAAATCAAAACATACTTGTGTTAACACTCTGTTAAAAATTTTTTTAGTATATTACTTGTGTGGTGTAGAAGAGAATTATTTTTGTAGAGATACTGCTTGCAAACCAATGATGGTAAGATGATGTCATGGGGTAGGACTGGATAAGTCTGACTTCTTCCTACTCCATTCAAGCATGTACTAGGTATAAGCAAATTGATATTGGATTAGCATTTGTTGGATATGTGTAAAATTATGTGTGTTGACATATCGACTGTCTTTACATGCTTGAAAGAATAAATAAATAAAAAAAAAAAGCTACAGTTATTGTAGCAACTTGGCTTTGTCCAAAGGCAGCAAAATCTTGGCTCAGTGCAGTAACTTCCTGGAGCCTCTGATGGTTACCTGGTAACTAGTCACAGCAAAAAAACAGTCCGGCACATAGAGTTGGCAACCCTAGCTTTACATTTTGCATATAGTTATAAGAGTGGTATCAGTTTTCTCAAAAGACCATTCCTTTAAAGATGTGCATGGTGCAGCTGCATGCAAAATACTGAGCTGAAAGGGTTTTGGTCATAGATTGTTGTGAAGTTAATTCACAACTCATTAAAGTTAATTTCATAAACAGAAGTAGGAGCCACACTGATAAGTTTATGTTTGTATTTTTATCTGCAGGCTACAAAAAAGACAGGAGACTGAGACCACTTCACCACATCAAGCTGGAGGTTTGACTTACTTATCTACTAAAACTCAAACTGCAGGACAAAATCCAGCTGACTTTTTTGCACAGTTTTAACGAGGGCCATGTGATAGGTAATACTTGGATCATTTGTAATGTCAATGGAAACTCAGAAATAAGGAGATAGAGGAACAGCTATAATGAAAATGCAGGCTAACAGAAATGTTTCTCAGTCATATGCTTCTAAAACACAGGTAAGTGATGCACAGTGGTGGAAAAGTGGTGTTTTTTTTTGTCTCAACAAAAAGAAAATGTAAATATGTATTAACTTCTAGTTTCTTGAAATTTCGTATCAAAATTTTGCATTAGAAAAGCAATTGCATCCTTGATCTCTCTGTCTGTCTGTCACTTTCGGCTGTTCCTGTCAAGGGACGCCACAGCGAATCGGTTTGCATATTGAAATTTGGCACGTGTTTTACACCGGATGCCCTTCCTGCCACAACCCTGAATGCATCCCTGATCTCTAATATGCATAAATATCAGAGGAAGACTGACAGCACTTCATCAGTGACTTCATTAGTTTGAGCCAGCAACCGCCTTTATGTTCATGGAAACAGCTCACAAATATATAGTTTTGCTAAAAGAAGGACTCAGGTATTTCCAAAAGCTCCCAGACACAAATTTTTAAATCAAACAAGGAGGAAATAGTGTATTTCTTGGGGACAATTTTCAGTGGTGGATTAATTCACATTTTGGTGCTCTAGTGAATATTTGGAGTAGCAGGACAGTGTATGTGGAAAAAGGTCCAAATAAGTTACAGTTACAGTTTACAGTAATGGAGGAACATGTCACCCAGTAGAACAGTGTGGCTTATCAATGTGTTTTGATTAGCTTTTTTGAACAACAATGGATCTCTGTGGCACAGAGCATCAACATATACCTGTATTTGGATACACACAACACTTCTTTGTAGGATACATTCACTGTGAGTTTTAGTGTTTTTGTGAGAGTTGCCTGACAAAAATAAAAATACAGAATGTCACCAGATGTGTCCTTTAAATGAAGAGTAATCAAAGTGTGCCATCACATTAATTTGAATAGGTTGTAACCAACAGAGGGAGCCAAATAACACCCATTAGTGTTGTAAAGATTTCTGTTTGAATGTTGACCTGATATTCTGACCCTCTCATGTATGTCACAGGGGAGGACAAAAATAAAGACACACCTCTAAATATAATGTAGTCAGTACATCATCACCTTTAACTATGACCTCAATAATAAACATATAACAGAATTTATACAATTTCAGCAAAAACTGAAACATTTTGAGCTTGATAAACACAGATGTTAAGGTGGAAGTGATGCACTGAATTGCGTACAGGCGTACCTAATAAAGTGGCCAGTGAGTGTATACTCGACCTAGACAGCATCTATTTCAGTTGACTGAGAAAGAGGGTATTTAACATCAGCACAGAAGTGCACACCCTGGGCAGTGCTACAGGGCGCTGCTCTCATGCACCAACAGACTGATAAACTCTTTCTTCCTCGGCGCTGTCTGCCATCACACCCACAGGCCCAGAGATCACGTTATAAATGCAATACGAACACCGACTGGTCACACCCTCATTCTTATAGTAGCAGATGTAGCTACATACAGTGTTTTGATGCATACATTTAGCTTTTGTGTTCATTTTTGTTTGAACTTGATTGCTCTTAATTATTTATTTATGACAGAACTTGACATGTGGATACGATAAGGGGAGTCACATTGTTTAATTTCTTTAGTTTTAATGTGATTGTTTTTAATTGTTTTGACAAATGAGGTGTGCATATGTATGAGAGAGTTAGACTAATTTCATTGTACACAAGTATAATGACAATGAAGTATCTCTAGTAACCTGATTTGTCATGTTTCATGCAAACATCATATGATCAAAACCAGGCTAATGGGGCATATGAAAACATATTCAGTGTTGCCAGTTACAATTTTTCTGAACCCACTTTTATCAGTCAGCCTTCATTTTGCAGGATCTTTTAGGACTCCTTTGTGAGTTTTTCTAAATTCAGTGTCAGCTTCAGTTTTTTCAACCCAGTTCTTGCACCTTGTTCCAATTTTCACCTCTTCTTCTCCCCCCAGTGTTTACAGGGTGTTGCAAGAAAAGGTCTATTTTATCACATACTGTATCATCTGCTACAAGGAAATTATAACTTTCCATTTGTTGCCCTAGTATTTCAGGTTGTAAATTACAGCTGTTTTCATGGTAACAGCCATTTTAAGAACATTTCTGACACATCTGACATGCAGGAAAAGGAGGAAATGAAGGCTGCCTAGTTGTAATAAATTGGATTTTCCTTTACCCTTAACATAAGCTTGCACTTATTTATTTATTTACCATGACCACTGTTGTTTCTAAACCTTAACCAAGTACTTGAAAGGTCATGAGGTCTTGAAGTGAGTGTTTTATCAATTACAGTGTCAGAGGTCAAGCATGCCCTAATCAAGAGACCTTAAAGCAAATGAAAATTAAAAATGTACAGTGAAGACTGATGATATGATTAAAAGCTCTAGATCAGTTACTAAATGAACCTTGTGGTGAAACTAACCAGGCCTTAACCAAAGCAATACTGTGTTTCCTCTGATTAACACTAAATGATTTTGTCATGTTGGCATGAGGACCTACTAAAAATTGAGGTGATCAAATGATCACTTCAGTTTTTTGGAACAAGGCACAGTTGTGCCTGGTGATCAGGTGGTTAGTTTTGTCAGAAACAACAAAATCATGTTTTTAACATGAAGTTACCACTTTGAGGAGCCTAACGTCTAATTTGCACATCTCAGTTGGGTGCCTACTTAGGGTGTATGTTTCTCACCTGGTGGTGGAAATTTCCCATCTTGACTTAATCCCATTTTAATTCAGAAACAATGATGTTGGTTATTTATAAATGTATCTCAGTCCAGTCTTCTCTCTGGGAGGCAGAAAACCTGCACTACATTGATTTATAAAAGCATGGGTGGATTAATGACAGGGCCAAATGGGGCACAGGCCCAGCAGCCCAAGGGGTCAGGGGGCTCCTGGGAGGGAGTGCAGTTTGTATTGTGTGCTGTAGTACTAACTTGAATATCTGTCCAGAGGAGGATCATTGTGGATCTACTTGACAGGAATCTTTAGGCAGGAATCAAGATACCCTCTCTTCCTCTAAATACTGAAGTTCAGCTGCTGCAGTTTTTCAAATGTCACTGACTGTCTTGAGTACAAATAAACATAAGAGATCTACAGAGAGATGCAAAATGACTACAAATACATAGAAAATTGATACAAAGAGACTAAAAATAACAAAAATGAGAAAATGACAACATGTAACAAGATGCAAAAGAAACTACAAAGGAAATGTCTACAGAGAGACACAAAACAAGCACAAAGAGATGCAAAATGATCACATAGAAATTCTAAATGGAAACACAAAGATGTGCCTGCATTATCTGTGGTTGTTTTGTGCCTCTCTGGCTGTTTACATGCTTGTGCCCAGGGCCTCAATGTCTCATAATCTGTTCATGCATAACTGGGATTGTAAAATTGACACTGAACTGTGGCTTAGTCATTTTGTCAATGAAAGTTATCTAAAATCAAATCCGGGATCCTATTTGTCTCAGTGACTCTGTTATGCTTTGACTCTGTTAGCCTGTGACTCTTTGGACATGATGTGAACATGATAGCTCAGGATGGTACATAATAGAAACTTCATCTTTATCCCACAGCTACTTCATAGAGCGTAGATGATCTGATTAAATTTTGGAGCAACGTGTTGGACAGTGCTCACCACAACCATAATCCAGACACCATTTGAGGGAATGTCTTTTGGAAGAATGGTGTTCATCCCTCCATTAGAGTCCGGAGACTTGGAGACAGTGGCGGTTCTACATTGAATTACTCCCCGGGCGAGACCCCCCTCTGAGTGTCACTGACTTAGTTTAGCCTACTAAATGGATCCC